AGGTCTTTTTGAGGGGGGTTGTGGTTCTGTCACCTCTTACGTTGCTTATACCTCCTTTAAAATATCTTGCATCTGGGTATTATGGAAAGATCTAACTCTGGAATCACAGGATGGGGTGAAATCCTACCTTTGCCATTAACTCTTTGTGGCACATTTGAAAAACAACTTACATGGCCCAAAATTTCCTATTTGTAAAATGAAGGGATTGGATAGTTGGCTTCTGAGGACTCTTCCAGCTCTAGGTTTCATGAACATGAATTTTATTAAACCTATCAATAGTGATGCCTGACATTTATATAATGCTTTCTGGTTTGCAAAGACTTTACATACATTATCTCATTTAATCTTTACCCTAACTCATTGAAGTAGGTGCTATTGTTATCTGCCTCTCACAGATAAGGAAACTGAGGCAAGCTGAGGTTAAGTGACTTACTTGCTCAGGAGCACACAGCTGGTAAATATCTGATGTGATGATATTCGAACACATGTCCCTGATTCTTAAGTCCAACAATTCTATCCAGTTCTCTGTGCCACATATTCCCAGAAGGGAAGAAATAGTGCATCATCATTTCATAGCAGTCAAAATCTGTTTCGCTAAGGGTATAAGGCTGGAATCTAGGCATCTGCCTTTGCCACCAAAGTAGCCTCACAACTTTAAGAGAAATCACTTCATCTTTTTTTTTTTTTTGCTTTTTTTTTTTGGTGAGGCAATCAGGGTTAAGTGATTTGCCCAGAGTCACACAGCTAGTAAGTGTTAAATATCTGAGGCTGGATTTGAACTCAGGTCCTCCTGACTCCAAAGTCAGAGCTGTATTCACTGTGCCATCTAGCTGCCCCTGAAATCACTTCATCTTTCTGGCCTTCTGACTGTAAAATAAGGAATTTGGACTAGATAATCTCTAAGGACTACATCAACTAGCTTTCAATGTCATTCTTTAAAATGTTTACTAGGACAGGCATGACTCAACTTCAGTTTAAGGTAGATAGCTTTTGAAATGGGTAAACTGCAACTTAGAGATGGAAGGTAGATAAATCTGAGCCTGTGCTATTGAAAACAGGACATTCTGAGAATATTTGGAAAGTCCCATGCTTTCTCTGACTTTATCATCACAGTGAAAAATGGTGAGATCTGAATTTGGCAAAAGCATCCAAAAAAAATCAGAAATTAGATAGTACGTATAACGTGAATAATAGTAATTCTGTCATTTATAGAGTGGATGAATATTGATGGATTTTAGTCTTAGCAAGCTTATTCTCACAAAGGGAATTCATAAATAAGTGGTAATAGGTAACTTCTACTTTTAAAAGACTTCAGTTAGCCATGGGCTTCCCCATTCCACCCAGAGGAAGTAGCAGTAAATAACCTTGAAAGAAAATAAAAGGAAGCAACTATTTTAAAATGTTGTCAAATGATGTTTTAGCTAAAATATTATGTGTATGCATGTTTTATGTATATTTTAGGGAACTTTGATCAAAGTAAACTGTATTATCTAAAAGACCCTAACCTTTTTAAAATACTTTAGGTAGCATGTACTTTTTGCACACTTTTAAAGGATAAGATTATTTAATAGTCTGGATGAGAATTTGCCAGCTTTCAGAAGATGATAGTGCCTCATCCTTTTGATGAATTCATACCTAAAAACCAAATGCACCTCAGACTTTTTTGTCAGTGAATAAAGATCACTGATATTACAGTTTTATAACATTACAGTTACATTCAAATTCTTAATATCAAAACGATTTCATTTTCAATTCTATTTTTTTTTCAGAAATATGTGGTTTATTTCAGCTTTTAAAACTAGCATCAAGCACTCTCCTAAAAACAATTGCTCCTAAAAAGAATTTTTTATTAGTTGCTTACAAGGAAGTCTCAAGTAAATGACTGTTAGTTTTGCTTGACAGCACTTTAGTAGGATTCTGATTTTTTTATGAATTTTAGTTGTTTGGAGTGGCATAGGGAATCTCCTAGTTTTAGATTTTATTCTTTGGCTCTCATAACTGTTCTTCAAAAAGATTTTCCTTTTTCTTTGGCACAGTGGAATTGGTAATTGGGTCTTTAACGAATGACTGTTTATGCATAATGTCATACAATCTAAAAATCTAATTCACAGACCACAAAATATAGAACTTATTTCTTTTCTTTTGAAAATCTCTGTCCTGAAAACTGTATTGGTTTTTTATGACATACCTGACACCTCCCGATTTTTAAGACCATCATGACGCATCCATACCACTTATTTGATGTATGTCAATCGGTCGGCATTTCTGTGTGTGCATATTCTCCTGTATCTGTCTATGGGGACATCATTCTGACATCCTAAACCCCATATTAATGCTTGGTTTGTGGCTAATGATGCTCTGAGATAAATCTATACATTTTTTATGGTGTTCATTAGATGTGTACTGAAAAAAAGAACAGAAGCTTCTTAGTAACACTGCAATAAGCCTTTTATTGGTGGATTCCTCTTTCCTTTCACTGTGACCTGTGAATATCAGAATAGGCTCACTGCCAATTTTGTGATCTGCTGTTCGCTTCAAAATGGAGGCAGGAAGGTATCCATTTTCATCAAGAAGATGACAGTGTTTCAGTCCTCCAGACCATCTGGAGAGAGGAACTTTTTAAGCAGAAGAAAATGGGAACTTTTAAAAAATTATATTTAGTAAGAAAGAAAAGGGGGAGGGAAAAAAATTTAAAAGTTAAACTATATCTTAGGAGTTCATGATTGTCTAGTATGCTGTCCTGTTTAGTTGAAACATAAACAAGAAAATACACAGGCTATTTTTACAAAGAACTAGTACCCAAAGCCTCTGGAGTAATAGTAAACAAATGTAAGTAAATTAGTTTTTTGGCACACTTGTTAAGTTTATTGCACACACAAATATAATAAGTACAAGAAAAAGAGATTCCCCCCCCCGATGCACGCATTGTGTGTTGGTGGTCTTATGTAGATCCAGACTTTTAATGGCCCTTTTCATGCATCTCTGCAAAGAGCTCGCACCATGAGAATTTAATATCCCAAGATATGTTTATGATTTTCAGTGGTCTTGATAGTGTTGTTCTCTAGGTTTCCCTTCCCCGCCCCCTTCTTTTTGAGAACAAAGAGTTTGCTTGAAGGGTGGGGTAAATGCAGAGCTTAGTCCATAGCTTTTATTTTTTTCTTTAACATTTATGTGAACTCTCTGCTTCTAAGCAATAATGACAACAATAATAAAAACAATAAAAATATCATATTATAAACACTTAGATATTTTCAGTTTTCTAATATCCCAAGACCACATTGTAGATGTTATACAGAATATCTATAGTTGTAAAGGAATTGGCAAAAGATGCATTGATACTCTTGTCTTAGACTGGGAAGTATCTTACCTGGTTTTTGTTTTTCAAAGCTTTAAACATTTTTTTTTCCACATAAATACAAGGCCTTTATTTTTTTCCTCTTTTTCTCTTTGTATTGCATTGGAATCATTGTTTCATGTTATGAGCTGGTTTAGAACTAAAAAAGGCAGAAATGGAACATTTCAAAAACTGGAGAATTGTATAGCAGAAAGTAGGCATAGACCAACATCTCACTCTGTATACCAGATAAGGTCAAAATGGGTACATGATTTAGATATAAAGGGAATTACCGTAAGCAGATTACGAGATCAAGGAATAGTTTACCTGTCAAATCTAGAATTTATGACCAAACAAGAAATAGAGTACATTATGAAATGCAAAATGGATAATTTTGATTACATTAAATTAAAAAGGTTCTATACAAACAAAACCAATGCAACCAAGATATTAGAAGGAAAGAAGAAAGGTGGGGAACAATTTTTACAGCCAGTGTTTCTGCTAAAGGCCTCATTTCTCAAATATATAGAGAATTGATTCAAAGTTATAAGAATACAAGTCATTCCCCTTTTGATAAATAGTCAAAGGATATAAACAGGTAGTTTTCAGATGAATAAATTAAAGCTATCTATAGCCATCTGAAAAAAATGCTCTAAATCACTATTGATTGGAGAAATGCAAATCAAAACAACTCTGAAGTACCATCTCACACCTATCGGATTGGCTAATATGACAGAAAAGGAAACTGATAAATGTTAGAGAAGATGTGGGAAAATTTGGAACACTATTTGGTGGAATTGTGAACTGATCCAACCATTCTGGAGAACAATTTGTAACTATGCCCAAAGGACTATAAAACTATGCACACCCTTTGATCCAGCAATACCACCACTAGGTCTGTATCTCAAAGAGATCATAAAAAAAGGGGAAAGACTCACATGTACAAAAATATTTATAGTAGCTCTTTTCTGGTGTCACGGAATTGGAAATTGGGGAATGGCCAAACAAGATGTGGTATATGAATGTAAGGGAATACTATTGTGCTATAAAGAAATGATGAGCAGATGGATTTCAGAAAAACCTGGAAAAACTTACATGAACTGTTGCTGAGTGAAGTGAACAGAACCAGGAGAACATTGTACATAGTAGCAGCAACATTGTGTGATGATCAGCTACAGTAGACTTAGCTCTTCTCCCCAATACAGTGGTCAAAGACTGTTCCAAAAGATTCATGATGGAAAAATGCTATTCAAATCCAGAGAAAGAACTATGGAGTCTGAATGCAGATCTAAGCATACTAGTTTCATTTTTTTTTGTTTTTTTTTTCTTTCTTGTGGTTTTTCCCTTTTCTTGTGATTCTTCTTTTACAACATTACTAATGTGGAAATATGTTTAACATGATTGTACATGTATAACCTATATCAGATTGCTTGCTGTCTTAGGGAGGGAGGAGCAGGGGATGAGAGAGAGGGAGAAAAATTTGGAACTCAAAATCTTAAAAAAATACACGTTGAAAACTCTTTGCATGTAGTTGAAAAAATATAATCCCATCAAGTAGGGAAAAAATAGAACATTTCATTGCTACTTCTTGTTTCTTACACAATAGCATACCTTGTAATACTTGAGTCATCACAGGAAACAAACTAAATTAGTCCTTGTTCTCTAGGTTTATGCCCCGTCAGCGAGCACTGCCGACTACAATAGGGATTCACCAGGTTATCCATCTTCAAAACCAGCAGCCAGCACTTTTCCTAGCTCCTTCTTCATGCAAGGTAAGAAACTACTTTTCAAGGAAAAACCACTTAGCAATTCGTGTTATTCTGACTGAACTCTTACCGGATTTTCACTCTGAGTGTATTTGCCACAGAAATGGACAAACCAGGCAGTGCTCTTTCCTAAGAAGTGTGACAGCAGTAACAAGATCGAACCTTTCTTATGGTTCTGAACATCAGTTTGAGGGTTCACCAGAAGTATTGCATACTAGGTTCAGAACTTGTTTTAGACTATAGAAATTTTGTTAGTCAGCCATATCTACTTGTCATGCGTAACCCTTTCTCCTTGGTTTTGTCTGACCTTGCCTTACCAAGGCTTCATGGGGTTTTCTATCTCATTTTCCCTTCTGTTGGCAAAAATGCTTTCCAGTGTAGAAGAGACAGATTGTAGGAAGAAGAACTGTGCTGATGTCACCATCCTTCAAGCTGTAAAGAAGGCAGCAGTGAAAGGATCCCTTTGATAATGTGGTGTCACTTTTCCCAGATAAGAGCAGACAGATTCAGTTAGGATTACTATCACTTTTAACTTGTTCCCACTCCATTTGAAGTTTTGTCTTTTCCAATCCAATTACAAATTTAATATTATTTTGGTACTTCAGAGATCCATGATTTTGTCAGAGGGGGTACTCCCTCAGCTAATGGAAAGTCACAATGCTCTCTTCATGAGTCATTGTGATAAAAAAACAAACAGAAACAAAACAAAAAAAAATTCATCCTTTAGTGGCCAGTATTTTGGTGATAGGTCTCTAAACTGTTGTAGGCTGGTCCTTTAATGACATGTACATAATCTGTTGCTGGACCATATTTGAAGCCTTTCCAACTTTGCAGTACTTGTTGGACCACTGGCATAGCTTCCTGGAGCCTGGCTTCACCTCCATTGCATACCCAGTGAAGGAATTGTCATGATACCCAGTACAAATTAGTCCAATTGGTCCCTGTTGATTGATGTTGACATTTAAAGTGAGATACTGAAGAACTCCCCATCCTGTTTTCTAAAGACAAGCAGAGTACCTGCCTTTTAATGGCAGCTTTTTGCTACTTGTGTCTTGTCCTAGTGGCAAAATTGAATTATCTCAGTTGGTGTTTTCATCTCTTTAGAGTCAGGTAGCACTCTGCTACACATAATGTCCATCATTCCATCGGGTCCACCATTTCCTTTTTCAAGTAACAGAAAGAAATTATGCTATCCATGGTTGGGAAAACAGTTCCTAGCGATGGATTTGTACATTAACTAGACTTTTATGTACCCAAGTCATTGACAAAAAGGTTTTCTCCATTCTGCTTTTAGGGGAATGACCTGCTTGCATCATCCAAGCCAAAGGAGGAATATTAGATAGATTATTACTAATAATAGTTTCCTAATTATATGGAGATAAGGCAAAATATGGGAGCAAATATTTTATCTTTATAGAACTAAAAATGACATAATGATTTGATTCTAAAAGTTAACATTTATCATTTCATTTACACAATTTATTTGCCCAGAATATAGAAATATTTTCCTATTTTTTAAAAAGCAACATTATGGCAAGATCACAAGAGTATGAAAAATATTAACTTGCTGTGAAAAGCAATACATATGTAAAATATGTATTTTTATGAGTCTGCATTGAGCAGAATTTTCTAAGATAAGAAACCCTAAATAGATTTTAATTGCTACATAGTGCATCTCATTTCAGAATGTATACAGAAGCTCTTGCTCTTTAATGTAGTCTTACAAAGTCATTTGCCATACCCATCAACCATTCATTAAAAGAATTTAGCCTTGGACTTTTAAATTAAGATAGGGATATCTACACTTCTCTAATCTAAGGACCTCTTCTATATTAAGTGAAGTATGGGCTGTATTAATCATACTTTTCCTTAATGCCATGATGGCAGATAAAGAGGAGTTGGGCTCCCTTTTTGAACAAAAAAATTAGCTCCCAAAAGTCTATAGTGAATTATTGAGTGCTGAACCTTAAGTGCTGCTGAATTGAGTACCTAGTAAGAGTTAAGATATTCTATAAGTTAGGTTGAAGCATGTTGTAGTTCTATTACCATGTCTCCTAATTTTAATCTTTTTTTTATTCTTCCAACTAAATTTCTTAAAATTTCAAAGCCATGAATGAAGTTTTCTCTGAACAGTACTTATTTAAACAAAACACATAGATTATTCTTCCAAACTGCTTGAAAACATTCCAGTTTTCAAAATTTCAACATCTAGAATTAGTACTTAAGTGAAAAGCCCTTGATGGGATATATAGTGCCCCATTCAGCTTACCTTGTAGAAGAATTAGAAGTACTGCCAATGATTAAAGCCTATTTGGAAAAACCCTCTGCAGGTTTACTGTGGAAGTAATCCAGTTGTTATGGAATCAATGCCAGCAGCATATTCAATAGTAACATAAGTTTGTCTCTCCAATCCCAGTTCTTTCTTCTGCCATCCACCCTCAAGTGTAAAAAAGACCACAGAAGCAATACCAGAAACCATAGACCATAGTAGCAAGGGAGATTTTTATATCCAAATTATAGTATAATTTCCCTAATTTGTATGAAATGAGAAAGTCCTAGGAATAAGTTTTGAATTTTGAATTAATACCAGGATCACAATACCTGACAAAAATACAAAATGGAGTTTTCAACCATTTTGCCACCCCATATTTTTAAAAAATCCATTCCTCTTAAAATATTAAAAAGAATATCTTCTGTTTAAGATATATATGTCTTAAGTTGTGCTTCTGCTGAAAACCTAACATCTTTACAAAAACCCCCAAACCCACTGAGAAGCATATGTACTCTAGAGATTTTTACCCTTTCCTATTATACCACATAGTAATTCCAAGATTTTTTCCATATACTTTGTATATTATAGATCTGAAATCCAACCTCTTAAGTCAAATAACCATTTGTTTACTTTTAACATTTGTAAAATTGCCAAGTGTGTAATGTATCAAGTATTTTTAGCTAAAAATATTCGTCCCAAAATATAGCAGCAGTTATCATAGGAAAAAGGGTGAAGGAGTTGCCAAGAAACTTTTATTTAACATTAGATATCCTGCTAACTTGACATAATTCAATATGAAATTGTGTTCCATTTCTCTCTCTTCAACTTGGTTTTCAACTGAGGACTTGTCATTTATTGTTCACTGTTTTCAGCTGCTAGGTAATTGAACACCATATTCTTAATGCTATGTCTTCTAGTATAATCAACCAACCAGCATAAGGATAAATGAAGTGCATTGGGACAGTTATTTTTAAGTTCATGAGACAAACACTATTCTTGAAGCCAGTTTCAAGGCCTTCAGGGAAGCCACCATTTTCTTTGTCCTTTGCAGATGGCCATCACAGCAGTGACCCTTGGAGCTCCTCCAGTGGGATGAATCAGCCTGGCTACGGAGGAATGTTGGGCAATTCTTCTCATATTCCACAGTCTAGCAGCTACTGCAGCTTGCATCCACATGAACGTTTGGTAAGGCTGTTTTTTTGTATAATGGAGATAAGAAAGCCAGTTGCCTGATTATCTTACCCTCTCATTTTACAAACATAGGCATAAGGTCTAGGGGGTTATCTTCATCCTTGAGATCTTTAAGAAAGGATATCCAAGCATCAGCCCTTTAGACTAGAGACTGCACTGGAAGAAATCATTTCTTTAGATCCTTCCTAGATCTAAGAAACTATGATTTTTCCTAGTCATCTTTTTTCTTATCACTTTATTCTCTTTTCCCTGAATGTATATATCCCTTTTCCTTTTATAATCTTAATTATTTTTGTTCCATGTTTTCTTTATGTGTCCTGAATCACTAGTATCATTATTAAAGGAGGTCCAATTGGTGATGAAGTCATAGTGAGCACAAATTAGACATGTGGGTTTAATATGTTATCATATATGATCAAAAGTGATGGACTTTTTTTCCTCTCCACCACCCTGACCACTACCTTATATTACATTTATATTTTTGTCACCGTTAGACTGTAGTCTGATCTGGTTTCTTTCCTTCTTCAAGAACCCAGAATTTGTAATGATAATTCAGTCTCTCTGTTAGAGAAAAAAGTGCTACTAGATACCAAAGCTAGATTTGGTATTAATGTAAGAGTAGTCACTATGAATTCTCCTGTTAATGTAGCGTAATTTTAAAAGTTTATTGACACTCTCAAGCTTATAAATCCAATACTTCCACGAATCTGTGCTCTTATTGAATGCGGGTATTCCCCCAGTGTTGCAGGTCACAACCCAGCCATGCCTACCAAGCCAATGCTACTCTCATTCATATTTTCCCATAAATTACAAAGCTTCACAATTTAAGCATTGAAAAGGTCCTCAGCTTCAATATAATGCAACGCAATATATGTAAGGGATCCTCATTATAACATGTCATACAAGTGGTCATCTGGTCTCTGTTTAAAGAACTCCAAGAAGGATGAACCCACCACCTCTTGGGGCAGACTGTTCTACTTTTAGACAGCTCTAATTGTTACAGTTTTTCTTCATATGAAGCCTCAATTTGTCTCTTTGCAACTTGTACTTCGGTTCTGCCCTCTTGGTCAGAGAACAAATCTAATTGCCCCTAACCCCAAGTCTTTTTCTTTTCCAAGCAAAACATGTTCCTTTTCTTCAACTAATCTTTATATGACATGGACACAAGACCCTTCACCAATCTTGGTTGCACTTCTCTGCGCAATTTAGAATTTATCAACGTCTCTTTTGAGCTCCATCACTCAGAAGTGAAGCTCATACTCCAGATGAGGTCTGATGAAGACTGAGAACATGACTACCACCTCCCTATTCTTGCAGGCTCTGCTTCTCTTAATTCAGCCCAAGATTACATTAGCTTTTTTGGCTTCCACATCTCATTTCAGACTTACTGAAACTTGCTGTCCACTGAAACTCTCATATCTTTTTTTCAGAACAACTGTTATCTATCCATACTTCCTCTGCCATATACTTGTGAAGTTGATTTTTTTAATACCTGAGCATTAAGACTTTTTTTATTTAAAATTCACAGAGAGGGCTACCCAACCTACTGTAGGCTGTCTTCACATTGTCCTGATGTTGCAAGTTTACAAGTGGAGCATGTGGGCTATCCAAAATTGTCCTGTGTGCTCACTATGTGTCTGGAAGGTCTGCGGTTCTGTGAATACATTTTAAAATGCTTATAGTTCACCAAGACTTTGCCAGCTCTTCATCAGTGATATGTTTTCTGATGTCTCCTCTTCTCTTTGTTCTCCCCATTTCTCCTTACACTACTTGGATTTTTTCAATTTTTTCCACAGGAACTTAATACTTGGTTCTTTTCTTTGATTCCTCCATTCTATTCCTCTAAGCTACTGCAGATACAGCCAAAGGCATGTTATCTGTATTTTGCCACCAAGAAAGCCCAGTAAATTAATATTTTTATGAGATTGTTAAATCCCTCAATACAAATCATCATTTTAATAATTGAGACTTTACTAGAGGAGCAGGGATCTCAGTAACTAAGAAGAACAATTTTCTAGTAATAAGATTTATCCTTTTTGTACTAATTTTGATCTCATCAAATTTACATGTGTAAAATCATTATACTGTCACATTTTGATATGAACCTCTGACTTAAATACCTTTACAGTAAACAGCAAATGTTTTATTTTCTAACCTCTCCCAAGGATGCCTCACCCTACCTAGAGGAGGGAACTAGGGAAGTATTACAGGGACACTGAATGGACTGGATAGATGTGAATTAACTTAATTAACTGGAGTTGCTTATCAATAGCTTTACTCTTTCTCTACCACTGCTTTCTCTTTTTCTCTGGAAATGATGATTAACAAAAGCTTTTATTATCATCAACTGAAATTTACTATTCCATATGTCCTGTAGACATTTCAGTTAAAAAGCATTGGCACTGCCTGTCTGGTTGTGATAGGGTTGGGATCTGAATCCCTAAAAGGAAGAGACCATGTCTTTGGGATCTGGACCCCAAAAAGGAAAAGCCCTAGACTTTCTCACATGGCCCAGGTCCCTGGTGTTTGCTAGGTCATCTGACCCTTCTCAGTTGATCGTTTCATTGTGGCCCTACACCAAAACCTCCAACTCTCTGTTACTTCTAACCTAGCCCAGCCTTACCTCTGGATCACACCTGGCCACTTCCCACCCTTAATTCCTTCTAGACCCCTGCTCTATTCCCACAGTCTTCTGTGTAAAAGATTCATCTTGCCTCCATTAAAGTGCTCAGATTCTTAAAATCTGGCCAATAATGCAGACCCACTAGGAATCTCGCCACCCCAGTCAGTGTTCTAATAAACCTTGTCTTTGGCTAAAAGAAGACTTGGATTGAATTCATTTGAGGCAGGACCTCTGTCGCTTACTCTTGAATTTTGGGTTCCCAGCACCCTTAGACCTCAACAGTTGGATTTTAGTCCTTGTTAACTTTCTTATTCAGTTCATTTACCCTTTCTTTTTTCTTCTTCTTTTTTCACTTCTCTTCCTCTCAGGCTCTAGGACAGAGAAAGTTAGAGTAAATTAGTTTGATGTTTGCTGACCTAACCAGGTTGTATTGTCACTGCTGCTTTCAAAAGACTGTTTTTGTTTGAAAATGCCTTCAATTGCTGATGAAAAGTATGAGTTCAAACTAAAGCTGCTGTTCTCTTCATAAGAGATGTTGCTGAGTCAAAATAATTTTACCAATTAGAAGGATAACCTTAGATAAACCCATTCCCACTATTGGTATTTAGTGGCATGTATAGTCATATATAGTCAGCACACAATATAGAGTATCATTTCTGGGCTCCACAAATTAACAAATTTCAGTAATTATGGTATAAAAATGTAAAGAAGCAAGAACTATTTCTCTGCATTCCGATGTAGTTTTCTCACTAACTTGAATAACATCAAATTATTACATCCAGTAATCAATGTAATTTCTGTGATTTAACCATCCACAATCTCTCATTGAATATACTTTTAAGAATCTGTGAAACTGATTGACAGTAATTTGAGTATGCAGTGGGAAATCAATGTCCTTTCATTTGGAAATGATGGTAGTTCCCTACATTTATTTAGTTTGTAGCCTTTGGCCAAGCCTACAATGCACCAAGTGAATCTTTTGCTGTAGTTTTCTGGGAAAATCAGGCCAAAGGAGAAGATTTTGCCTGTGTTATTTTGGTAATTGTGCATAAATGTTAGGTCTTCATTTCCAAAGGTCAAGCTCTTGAAGAGTATAATTGCTATCTTAAAAAAAAAAAAAGTCCAGTGATCTCAGTGGTAAACTACTGCTGAGGGAACTTGCTTTACCAGTGTAGACCTATTCAGTTGCTTTGCAACTGATTGCTTGGGGTACTCAAGAATTAAATTAAAGCCAGTATCTGCTAGAAGCACGTTTTGAGCCCAGGTCTTTCTGACTATGTGACTAGCTCTCCAACACTATTCTGTATTTCCTGTCAGTTACCAAATATTTTATTATAACATACTACATATATAAAAACTTTTTTTAACAAAAGAAACAAGCAATCTTTTGATACTTCAGCAACAACTTTAAGATCCTTAGTTTTCATTTTTTTCCCTATTCATACTGGAATACTACTCCCTTTACAATTCTAACTTCTAGAAGATACAAACCAAGAGAATCCTGGAGTTAATTGCTACAATAATTCAGAAATTTACAAAATAATTCAGAACTTATGTCAAATTTATTTTTCTTCTTGACTAATAATTGGCTAAACTTTAGAATGGGGTTACTGTGAAAGATTGTTGAGCCTATTATCCTGGAGGTTTTTAAAAATAGGAGAGATTCACATCTGTTTGTGATAATCTAGTCATGATCCTCAGACAATGAGATGGAAAAGTTGACCAGTCAAGGTCCATTCCAGTCCAGTGAGCCTAGAATCCTACCCTAAAGTGAGCTCTATGTGCCTTTCTCTCATTCCATTGTAACCAAAACTCTCAACCCAGTACTTGTTTTCTTTTTGTCTGGGTACAGACATCTATTATAATATCTGTCCCTGTGTTATCTGATAATGACCAAAAATGTTCCCACCAAAACCATTCACTGTCTGTGTCATTGAGAGATGGATAGAGTCCCACCACATATGGCAAAAATGAGCATCAGCTGATGGTAGGATTCAGCAGTTCACTGTTGCTTCACCTTTACCTTTTCTCCTTTAGACCAGTGTAAAGAAGATGCTCTAACTTTTCTAGTAGGCATGGCATGTAGGAGCCCCCGCAGTTAATCATTATACCCAAAATGAGGGCAGTCAGTTCTTAAAGCTTCTTAATGTCCCATATACCCTTATCTGTTTTAAAGTATTTTAATTTTAAAATTATCTTTACATAATTCTTGACAGTACTTTCATTTAAATCAAGAGTTATTAACCTTGGGTGTCTGAATTTGTTTTTTTTTTAATTTTATATAATTAGTTTCCTTTATAACCCTATGTATATTGTTTTATGCATTTGAAAACCTTTTGAGAAAGGATCGATAGACAGATGGGCTTTATCAGACTGCCAGAGGAGAACCCAACACAAAAAAAGGTTAAGAACCTCTGCCTTAAGTACATTATTTAAGAGAGAGACAAGTCTTTTGTTAGTTTCTCTCGGAATAATTTTATTAATAAAGTACTTAAAATCTAAATGTTTTATATATACTGCATTATTTCCCACACAGAAAAGTCCAGAGAGTAAATGTTCTTTCAGTACTTTAAACATCATATTAGTTCTTACTACATTTTACCATATTCAGAATGTCTGCACATTTTCTATTTGAATGAATCTATAAAAAGTCTCAATGAATTTCATACCATTATTTCATATCATTATATCTCTGTTTTATCCTACATTAAATCTAATTCTTTGAATATCTTTAAATGCTTTCTTCTCATGTTTGCCACTCACATATTCTATCCTAGTCTTTGAAGTACATACGTAATCCACCAGTATTGGTTTTTTATATTGTTCTTCTCTATCTTTCTCCTTTTTCAATCTCAAGTCCTGTCTGTACACCATCAACAACTATATTCCTGCCTTAAAGAGCCTGTGACTTGGATTTTCTGTGAGCTATATATCCATTCTATCTAGATGTGGCTCAATATGCTGCAGCCTCCATCTCTTTTTTGAAGAAAAAAAGAAGATTCCTTAGGAGATTCTGTTTACAATCCTTGTAAAACTAAACACACACACACACACACACACACACACACACACACACACACACACA